ACATTATACAGACAGGCTCTGGTATCATGGCTACCTGACAAGGGAGCTCTGTGTGAGATTATTTTAAGAAAATGAAAGAGAAACCTGTGCAATATCTGCAGAGCAGAACTTACCTTCCACAGCAATTATTTTTAGTTAGCATATAGCTAAAATCTAACGATGGTTATATAATAGCAGCTGCATTCTGGTGTGATAAGCTCTATGTTTTATATTCAATTAACGTATGATCCGATTAGTCGACTAACCGAATAAATAATCTGTGATTAATCGATTATAAAAATAATCGTTTGTGGCAGCCCTAATCAGGATGATCCGGGGATCAAAATGTAACCTAAGCCAAGTCATTTCAACCAAGTTTGATCTAATTGTCAGTTTGATGTGATGGGACACATATTTAAAGAAATGATCCAAGAATAACATATTCTAATATAGTTAGGAACTGATTCGCATTTCTTTGATCCCCTCCAAACAACCAGGGTTCTGTCAGGTTGTTGGGTTGGAATGGACCACAAGACCAGACAGGAAGCTTGGAGAGAAAGTCACACCTGTTGGAGCAGATATTTTGAGATGGTTGTGATAAAGGAGGGATCAGCTCACAGCAGGAGCTGGTTAATGATCTGAAAGCAGCTGGGACCACCAGTTTGACTTTGCTTTTCCTTTAGAAGAAATAAAATGCTAAAGATTATTTCCCCGGTCAGGCACTGAAGTGAAAACTTTATGTTGTGGGGTTTTGTTTTTGCTAAGGATACAGGAGAACTTCACTGTGTTGAACAGAAAGTAAAAGTAACGTAAGTAAATAAGAAAGTAATTCCTATATTTTTTATTACAGAAAAGAACTGTGAGAATTATTACTGGAAAACATTGTCGTCACCCATCCAATTCATTCTTTTGTAAATTGAAAATATTGAAGTTCTTTGATTTGGTTGATTATAATATTCTACTGGTTATGTGTAAGGCCCACAAAAACACATTACCTTTAAACATCCAAGTAAAGTTTGTTAAGAGAAAGAGTTGTTATAACCTTAAAGGGACAGAGATATTTCTAAAACCCAAATTCATAACTAATTTGAAGGAACGGTGTACTTTAATTCATGGAATTAAACTATGGAATAATTTGGGGAGTGATGTAAAAAACACAGGATCTTTATGTACATTTAAGAAAATGATAAAAGCTGGATTGCTAAAGAAAGAAGAAACAGTATAATGTGTATCTATATGAATTGTTGCTCTAGAGGGATTAGATGTTCTTGTCTTGTTTTGTTAAAAACTGTTTTTTTTTGTTAAATGAACTTATTCTAGAAAAAAGGGGCAGATATAAGATTTGTTTCTTCTCTCTGCTGCTTTTCATTTCATTTTATTTGTGATTTTGATATACTGTACACATATATTTTTTCTCTCATTTTTCTTTTGATATTTTCTTTTTTATTGTATATTGTATAATAAATTATTTGTTTTGTTTTAATGAAATGAATTAAGAATTGAAACTGATACTGAAAGTACACAGGACCATGGACCTTTAAAACTGAGTGTTTCTAACCTTGTGTCCTTCGTCCGAGGGAATGCAACGGTTTGAATAAAAACCAGTGTCTTTTAAGAGAGAGCAATGGGCCCATTTACGAAACCTCTGCTCAAATGGATTATTTATCCATCCCCACTCACCATAACCATATCTGGTGCACTACAATTTGAATACGCAAAATTAAAATCCAGTCATAATGTGACAAGAGCAAACTAAAACTGTGCATATCATTTTCAACAAAAAATGTACATATATGACATCATAAATTTTGAAATCAGGTCAGAGTTACCTAAAGACAACAAGAGAGTTGCAGCTGTGTACTTAACCAGTGAATTTCTATTGTGTCAGAGCAAATTATGTCTTTTAAAGAGGGGGATTGACAAATCAAATTATTGTGGGGGTCTCTAACCTTCTGAAAATTATGCCCATGAGATGAGGACCTTCTTTCCTCAACCAGAACACTGAGGATGAGTCCAGTATGAAGTGTTGATGTCTTTCTCCTCTGGGTTTAGAGTAAAGAAAACAACTACCGTATTTATTCAAGTATAATACGTAAAATTAAATCCATAATATCATCCATAAAGTTGGGGGGGGGGGGTAGTACTATACTCGGATAAATATTTTTACTTATGTATTTTAACTGAAATATCGGCTTCATTCACAAAATTATGGAGTTCGGAAACGAGACCGCGTCGTAAAATCAGTTGAAGCAAGCTTACCTCTGACACTCCTTCGTGCTTCAGAGTGAGATAATAACAGATCCAGGCAGGTGACATGATGTGGAAAAAAAAGTGGGGGAGTATTCCTGCACCTTTAGTAATGATAACAAACTAATGACATTAGTGACCGAGCTGCTCCTCGAACAACAACAAACACATGTTCGTCTGTAATGGCTGCCGTCTACCGGTGTTCTGAAAAAGTTTGTATCCCTGAAAAAATGTTTCCCCACCTGAGGGGGCCCTCGTGAGTAGGAAGTAATCTGCTTTTCCCCCACAAGATGGTCCAAATCTCATGTGAAGTCTCTGACTTTTGTGTTGGCGCCTTCTGGTGGACTATGTGTAAAATGCCAGAATTCATATGATGGTGCTACAGCTGATATATATTTGTTGTCAAAATACCTTTTAGTACATATGTTGTTAAAATAAAATGAACAGTCCAATGATCATTTTACTGATATGTATAAAGACTGCAAAGGCTGAAAAATCTTGAAGTCTGTATGAAATTGGAGGTAGTTTGAGGATTAAATTTTTAATGCTTTTTAAGCTCAAAAAAGGGGGGTTGTATTATACAGTACATGAGATCGTATTATACATGAATAAATACGGTAATCATTTCCATTTCAACAAGACAAGTTTTATTTTAAAAAAGTACAACTAGACATGGATGCTGTATTAGCAGTGAAACAACAAACTGCATGCATTACAGTTTTTTAATTACTTTAAAATACTTTTAAAACTGCAAATTCTCTCATTGCAGTTGTCTAATATTTTCTCCACTCTCTAAGTGGTTACAAACTGATGTGATATCTTGGGTTCATTTTGTTTATCATAGCAATGCTGACAAAATGCATAAATGCTAAGATTTGAATCAACCATTTATCACAGTTTATGCAGTTTTCTGCGATATGCTCAGTGCACAGGCTGTTATTGCGCAGACGATAAACTGTGCAGCCCTGGTCCTGGATGAGACGTTTAAAAGGACAAAGAGCCAAAACATACTGCCAAGCTTACTAAAAAGTCACAGAATGACTGAGCCAGTTTTTGAACCTCAGTCTTTTAGAGAAGCTGTGGAGGGATGAAGTTTTGATTTGCCAAGCAGCAGCCAGAAAGATTTGTTTTTGTAAAGAGGATTGGGCCAGAATCCCTCCTGAGATCTGAACAAACCTGGTGACCAACTATAAGAAATGTATCTCTGCTGTGCTGCCAACAAAATGTTCTCCACCTTTATCTATTTTCTTTCCTGGAGTATTTATTGATTATTTTGTTGGTCTCTATTAAAAAAAAACTCATCAAAGCATCAACTAATTATTTCGTCCACTGAAGAACGGTTCAGACATCTGTGAGTGAATTCTTCCTTCTTTTGTCCCTCGGGCTCTTTCCTCTTTATCTCACTCTGACAGCTCCTCCAGCTCTTCTTTCCAAAGCTTTTCGTCTCATCTGGACTATATTAAGGCATCAGTCCGTCCTGCCAGCAGCCGGGATAAATCCTCTCCCAGATCCAACAGCGTCTTGACGGTTTGAAAGCAGCAGAAAAAGAAAAGATATTTTCATCTTGAGCAGGCTGAATCTGTTTGAAGCAGCAGCTGCTTTGAAACTCACAAACTCTTTCCTGTCGTTTCCATCGCCCTACTTTTCTGACTGCTGGTATCCAGAGTTAATCATGTTGAGTAAAAGTGGTTTGTTGGAACTCTGTCCTCTGCAGGTAAATCCCACCTGGCCATCGTTCAGAAGGTGAACAACGAGGGGGAGGGGGATCCTTTCTACGAGGTGCTGGGACTGGTCACTTTAGAGGATGTCATCGAGGAGATCATCAAGTCGGAGATCCTGGATGAGTCTGACCTTTACAGTGAGTCAGCACTTTCTGCCCCGTCTGACACATACACCTCTTTTCACTCTGACACCATTCCTGTAGCAAAGCATAGTGGTGGCAGCATCATGCTGTGGACGTGTTCATCTCCAGGTACTAGGACACTGGTTAGAGTTGAAGGAAATTTCAGAAACTTCAGGGCCCCATAGGGGTGTAACAATACATCGATCTATAATATCGATATATCAGTTTGAATGGTTCATGAATCAGTTATGTCGAGGCAAAATGAAAATGTCATCCTATATCATCATCATGTGATCAATGTGAATCGATTTCACATGCCCATCTAACACAGTCATTGTGTTAGATGGGCATGTGATATTGCATTATATCTATTGCAGACATGTGAATTGAATTGAATCGAAATCGTATCGTGACAGACTTTGTGATATCTAGAAATATGAAATCGTCATCCAAACATATCGATGTAATATTGTATCGTGATAAAGCTGGTGCTTTACACCCCTAGAGCCCCATAACCCTAACCCCCAACAATGTACTGTATGAAGGCTGATGGATCATTTTTAGCTAACCAGCTTCCCCATAATAAAGGACAATCTGCAGTACATCCTTAAAGGGGCAATATTATGTGTTTCTCAGGCATACATTTAAATACTATACCAAAATAAAGTATCTATGTTACCTTTAGTTGTTATTAAAATGCTGCTTTTATGTTTAAATAGAAAATAAACTTATCTTCTCATCACTTCCTCTTCTAAATGCCTTGAAATTGGCCTCTGTCTCTTTAAGAACCACCTTCCGCTTCTGTCCCACCCATGTCGGGGGGGGGGGGGGGGGGGG